CCGTAGTAAGTAGGCATATTTTCTATTTGCTTGTTTATATATATATATGTGTGTGTGTGTGTGTGTTTATTGTCTATATTAACCATTTTATTCATTAATTAACCATTTTATTCATCTCTTTCCAAATTTTACATTGTTTTTTGGTAGATAGGGTCTCATTACAACTTAGTCTTTAAAATAACAATATTTGGTGAATTAACTGAATTAACATAGTCAGATGTGTACAATGACTGCCAGATTTTTGTTTCGTTTTATTTTTGAGACAGGCTCTCACTCTGTAGCCCTGGCTGTCCTGTAACTCACTATATAGACCAGACAGGCCTCAAACTCACAGAGATCTGCCTGCTTCTGCTTCTGGGATTGTGGTAAACACCACCGCACCTGGCTTTTTGTTTGTTTGCTTGTTTACTTATTTTATTGTTTGTTTTGTTTTTGAGACAGGGTCTAGACCCAAATTAGGTGGCCTTCTATTCCTGAATGTATTGCATCTGCTGGGATTTATACCACTGTGCCTATCTCTATTTGGGGAACATTGAAAAGCTCTGTGTATGTAATCTTATCATGTCTTCCCTTCTCCAGTCTTACCCTGACACATGTCCAGCAATGTCTTAGCTGTTTATGGCACAGTAGCAAATTCTTAGATTCACAGTAGTGAATGAGAGAGGTGAAAGCTGTGACTCATGCCTGCAATTCAAGTCCTGGAGAGGATAAAGCAGAGGGATTACCAAGAGTTTGAAGTCAGCTGGGCTACATAGTGAATTCAAGGCTAGACTGGGCTATAGGGAGAGGCCCTGCCTCAAGCAAGCAAGCAAACAAACAAATAAAGCTCCATCTGAAGGGGAAAATGACTTTTCAGCTCCAAGTGATTTTAGGTTACTGACAATTTTAGCATTAATTTGAATAAACAAGCACACATTATGGGACAAACAAAAGAGATTGCTGTAATCTCTCTCTGCTCTAAAGCTAATTCATACATATCTCAGATTGTTAGGAAAAAACCAGAATACATGTTTTAAGGAAGCCAAGAAGTAAAGTGTTACCAGAAAAAAAGAAGGAGTTGTTAATGTTGAATATTGCTGAGAAGATGACAAAGACTCAAAAGCAGCCATTAAACTTGCCAGTATGGGCCTAGTCATGTAGCTCAGTGGTAGAGTAGTGTGCACAAGGCCCTAAGTTCAAATTCAAGTACCACACACAAAAATATTAAGACTGAGTGTGGTGGTGCACCTCTATGTGAATTCCAGGCTAGCCTGGTCTACATAGTGAATTTCAGGCCAGTCCCCACCCAAAATTCAGATGGGGATAGAGACATGATGGAAGGGATTGAAAGGAGAATGTGAACTATATAGCCATCTTCTCTGCACTGGGAGCAGCTCTTCTCACCCTTGAGAACATACGTCTTCTCGGAGTTGTATCACTATCTGCAGTGATGTTGAACTGACCAGTGAGGTTGGCAGATGAAAGCTCAGCAGCTTGGAAGTCCCACGTCCCCTGACCTCACTTGCTCCTAGCCACAAGCTTCCAAACCAGCACCATTTCAAGAGACACTGACACAGCAGCCAAGTTCACTGAGGTTGGGGCTGCCACAGTTAGGGTGGCTGGCTCTGGGACTGGGATTAGACTATTTTGGGGGGGATCCCCACCATTGGTTATGCAGGAACCCTTCTCTGAAGCGACAGCTCTTCTATATGGTTCTGGGCCATGGGGCTCTTTTGCCTAATGGTGGCCTTTCTCATCCTCTTTACTGTGTGAAATAGCCATCTCCATCTCTACCTCCCGTAGTTCTTTCTCCCATGTCTCATCTGCTCTGCATGTTCCTTTTCCTGAACCTCCCCCAGGAAGTCTGGGGAAGGTGGCTGGCTCAGGGCATGACAGAGAGAAGACAAATAAATACTGTACTAATAAGAAAGTTTTAGCGTATAGGGAAGCAGATGAATGGTGTAGTTGAAGGGAGACTATGGGAGATATTAAAATATATGCTTAGAAAGATAGTTCACATGCGTTATGTTTTCTCCATTGTTACTAATTATGTTTTGGGTTTTATTACCAAATTGATATATTTGTTAAACATTTTCTAGTTGATTCTTATGATTTTCTAGGAATCTAATATTATTTGCAAATAAAGATAATTTTCTCTTTGGTTCTAGACCATATAGAGGTTATTTCTTGTTCAGTGTTGAGTATTATCAGTGGTAATATGTCTTATCTTCACCTTTTTTCTATTTTAATGACAATTACATTATTTTCTTTCTCTTTTAATTTTTTCTTCCTCTTCTGATGATTGAACTCAGGACCTCTTAAATACTAAGCAAGTGCTATAATCTAGTCCCTCTTGATCTCACAGAGATCTGCCTGCCTCCTCCTGAGGGCTGGGACTAAAGACATACACCACTATGCAGTCTTGACTGGGGTCTCTCTCTATACCCCTGGCTGGCCTTGAACTTACAGAGATCCACCTACCTCTGCCTCCCAAGTGCTGAGTTTAAAGGCATGTGCCACCTTACTTGGCTCTTCCTAGGATCTTTAAAAACTAAGATTCATCAGATCTGTCATCAGATCAAATTCTGGCTAGGTCACTTGCTATGGGACATTCAAGTTTATGTTACTTTAAAAAATTTTATTTTTATGTTTTTTTTTTTCTTGGTCTTTTTGAGACAGGGTCTCCCTGTAGCCCCAGCTGACCTGAAACTTGCTATGTAGACCAGGCTGGCCTCAAACTCAGAGAGATCCACCTGCCTCTGCCTTCCAAGTGCTAGGATTAAAGGTGTGTACCACCACACCCGGCTTTTACGTATGTTTTGCCTGCACGTATATAGCCTGCACGTATATAAGTGCACCACACATGGAGGCCAAAAGAGGGCATTGGATCCCCTGGAACTGGAGTTAAAGATGGTTGTTAGCCACCAAGTGGGTACTGGGAATTGAACCCAGATCCTCTGCAAGAGCAAACAGTACCCTTACCGCTGAACCATCTCTCCAGACTGCCCACCTTTTGCTGAAAGTTTATTTACTTTTTAAACTATATATGAATGCTTAGTTTGCATGCATGTAAGTGTGCCTGTGTCTTGCAATGCTCATGGAGGCCAGATGAGGGTGTCAGATCCTCTGGAACTGGAGTTATGGACTGTTAGCTGCCACATGGATGCTGTGCAAGAGCAGTCAGTGCTCTTAACTGCTGAGCTATCAGTCTCTCCAGCCACTATGTTATCTTTTTATACCGGGTTATAATTTTTAAAATTTTGAGTTCAATAAAGAGGCTTTGGCCAGGCGTGGCAGCACATGCCTTTAGTCTCAGCACTTGGGAGGCAGAGGCAGATCTCTGTGAGTTCAAGGCCAGCCTGGTCTACACAGTGAGTTCTAGGTCAGCTGGAGCTATAGGAAGACCCTCAAAAAGACCAAAAAAAAAGAAAAAGAAAAAGAAAGAGGGTTTATTCTCACATGCCCAGTCAAAATTAATGTTTTAAAAAAATACTTTATTTATTACTATTTTTTTTCAGAGCTGAGGACTGAACCCAGGGCCTTGTGCTTGCTAGACAAGCGCTCTACCACTGAGCTAAATCCCCAACCCCTTATTTATCACTTTTATTTTATGTGTATGAGTGTATTACCTGCATGTGTGTAAGTGTACCTGTGTCTTGCAGTGCCTGAGGAGGTCAGAAGAGGGCGCTAGATTCCCCTGGAACTGGAGTTACGGACAGTTGTTAGCTGCCATATGGGTGCTGGGAATCAAACCTGGGTCTTCTGCAAGAGCAGCCAGTGCTCTTAACTGCTGAGCCATCTCTCCAGCCCCAAAATTAATGTTGTTATTAATGGTAGATCATGAATGATTTCTATAAAATTAAGATGGAATTCAAAGTTTTTACATAATGCTATTTCCCTTTAATTGAATCATTACTCTAGGCTTTAATGCTTCACTGCAGAGGAGAGAAAGGATGTGATTTACATTGGTGAGAACTGTGGAAAATGAGCAAGCCCTGGGTAAGCCCACAAAAATGTGTGACACTTGTGAAAATACATGGTCAAAAGATTGCAAAAATGTTCCACAGTTGGGCAGTGAGATGGTAAAATGCAGGTGCTGGTAATTTTTAGAACAAAGTGTAATTAAATGAGATGCTTTGAGCTATGCTGATATTTCAGATGTAAGATAATGTGACTCTCATAAGAGCCCAGGAAGTTTAAACAGGGTCCTTAACTGTAACTGTCTAGTAAAAATGGATAGTTTAGGATCTTAACTAATAAGGAATCGTTAGCTTAAATAGTCACAACTTTACTGAATTATGACTGAGCTTCATTTCTACCTGCATGGAGAGCTTTGGTGGCACATGCCTATGCTCGCTTTCTTCTTTCTTTCTTCCTTCCTTCCTTCCTTCCTTCCTTCCTTCCTTCCTTCCTTTCTTCCTTCCTTCCTTCCTTCCTTCC